TATATATATATTTTTTTAATTGCTATAGCGTGTGTGTGCTTCTGGAGAGAAACAGAGAGAGGGAAAGTGAGAAATCACCCCCCAGGGGATAGCCACACCTCAATCCCTTCTCCTCCATCTTCCTCTGGAGATTCTGGGCACACATACCTGGCATGTTATTCAAGCCGCCAGGTCCAGGACTCAAATCGAGCAGTGGGCCATGTAAGATCCAGCACCCTAACTACCATGCCACCTGCTGCCTCGAAACAACTCTAAAAATTTAGAAAGCCTTCGTAAGGACATCAATTTATTATATCTTTTGTACACTTGTTAAACTAGCCCTTAGATAGTATCAATGCTGATTCATTTCCTAGAAGATATCATTAAACGTTTTCACTCACTTTTTGGCTTTCTGTCTTCAAAAGTCAATTTTGACATCTATCAACCCCAGCATAAACCTCCTCCCAAAGATAATAGGCCTATTAGAAAGAAATACAACTAAAACGAACTCTTTTGATTTCAAGTACTAAAAGTACACTAGTGGGACCAGCAGTTAGCATAATGGCTATGTCGCTGAACTCCCATGTAGTCGACCACGATTCGAGTCCCGGACCTGGCGGCTTAAACTCACGCCAGGCACTTGTGCGTGTGTGCCCAAGATCTCAAGAGGACAATGGAGGAGAAGGGATTGCAGAGTGGTCATCCTCCCTGGGGGGGTGCTTTCTCACTTTCTGTCTCTCTGTCTGGCGAGCGCATGTGCCCTATAGCAAAAACCTCCCCCCCCCAAAAAAAATGTACACTAGTGTTGCCTTTATCAGAACTCTATCAGAATCATACAGTAACATAAACTAAGAAATTTAAATTAGAAGAAAGGACAAAAACTAAAGGATTTTTTTTTTACCTTGTCCGTATTAAGAAAGCAAACAGGATTGTTTGGTTCAAATACTCCAACCAGCCAAGGATTATCAGAATAATCAGCATAAAATTCCAGTTCCAACTTCACGTCTTTAAAGTTAGGAAGGTTTATCATGGCATTGGCCACTTTGTCTGATCCACACTCCAGCTTTCCCTCATACGTCAGCTTATTACTTAAGGACATAATTTTACTAAGGGAATTACAAAAGATGATTTTAGTTTTGGTAGATGACAGCAAACATGAGCACCGCTCAATGCCAACACTCACAAATACCTGTTCATCCGGTACTGCACAGTTAACTGCACAACAGCATTCGTGTTCTGCTCCAGCCTCTTGAACAAGCTTTCACTCATGCCAAGAGCTCTGTCAACAAATCGAATCAGGTGTATTAGTGCACTATAGCTGCCCTTCAGAGGAATCCGGTAAATGTAAAATTCCACTATCTGCCTACCTTGCTTCCCGGTTTAGCACCAGGGGAGGAAGCTGCTGATGGTCCCCCACCAACACAAATCTTCTTGAAAAAAACAGTGGCCCCAGGCAAATTGGTTGGCTAATTTGAGAGGCTTCATCCACAATACAAAAATCAAAAATTCTCCGGGAAAATATTGGATGGTTTATTCCCATACATGTTGTTGCAACTATAAGCTAAAAACAAAGGAAATGATTCAGCTATTTAACGTGCAAAAGAAACGTAGTTTCTTTTTACTGATTTTGAAAATAAAACATTAAATGTTTTAATGTCCCCTAACAGCAGGCAGCTTCCATTATACTTTCATTCTGAACACATTTACACTATACAAAATTTACTTATAAATTTTCCCTAGAAGTTGAAAAACACCTAGATTTTCTAGACACTATAAACAATGCTCACACTTGATTATTTCAAGTATGAAATGAAATAATGAAAATGAAAATCTGAAATATTCAAGAGGTATTATGTTTTTCTTTAAAGAATTATTTTCATTTATTTATTTAGACATACATACATACACACATACATACCAGAGAGGGACAGAGAGGGAGAGAGAGAAAGTGAGAAAGCAAGCCACCAGGTCCGGGACTCAAACCATGGTCAGCCATGTGGGTGTCCAGAGCCACCTGCCAACCCCAAGTTAGTAAGTTGTTTTTTTTTTTTTTTTTTTAATGTCTACTGGGATTTTGCTTTTGGAGAGATGGGAGTACTTTTCCTTATTCTTCCCACAAAGCACAACTAAAAACCCTGAACTCTGTATGTAAGAGGAACAAATTAGGATTCTGAAAGGTGGAGAAGGCAGACCACCAGCTATAGAGCACAGGACCAGAGGGATAAAACAGCAGTTAATTCACTCAGTTTTCTTTATGCTTCATCTATCCCAGATCTGGAACTGAAAAATCCAGCAACCCAGGAAGAACATGAATGGGTGCAGGCTAAAAATAGCTTCAACAAAAATGTGCTCTCGCCAGGTGACGGGACAAGAGGGAGACAGGCAGAGAGAAAACTTACACAACAGCCACCCTACTCTAGCCCGACAGAAGGATCATGAGCTCAAAGCTGCCCTGAGCAAGATAGGAAGACTAGTGTGGTGATGACGCCTCTAGCGTCAGGTGGGATACTGAAACAGAGGACTATGACACTGTAAAACCCTGTCTTGAAACAAACAAACAAAAATTTAATAAAATTGGGGGCCAGCAGGTGGCATGGTGGTTAAAGGAGCTGGACTCCCGAATGGCCATCAGTGGTTCAACTCCCAGACCTGGCAACTTGCTTTCTCACTTTACTTCTCTCTTTCTCTCTGACTCTGTCCAACTCTGGTCAAATTAAAGCAAACAAATAAATTAAATACTTCTTTAAAAAAATTTAATAAAATAAAAATTAAGTTCTATATCAAAACCTAGAAATACTTACCACAAGACTATTCAGTACTGTTGTGCTTGATTCAAACTAACTAAAAAATGTGATTATTACTAGTTAATGACTATATTTGAAACTAGAAAAAGGGAGCTCTGAATAATAAATCAGAAACCTAACTGAGTTTAGCAGAAAGCAGTGAACTATGAATTAATTTAACCAATCCTGTGATGCATTTAAATTAATCTGCAAATCTGATCAATGTGCTGAGCCGAGCAGAGCATCATTTCCCC